TAGATAGATAGATAGATAGATAGATAGATAGATAGATAGATAGATAGATAGATAGATAGATATGGGGTAGATAGATATGGGGTAGAATAAGTTATCCGCTATATGACTCTAAATATTTAAGGTTTAGATAAATATTTGCTGCTTTTAACTTCTAATCAATGCCTCGAAGCGGCGTAGTGACCTAGAGGTGGAGGTGTCACCTCACAATCAGGAGGCTGTCAGTTCGATCCTAGGTAGCGGCAGGTATTTCTTTCTCTGGGCACAATGAGAAAATATCTGCTGCAAACTCCACATAGGCGCCTGGAAGGGCATCCGGCCTGTAAAGGCTCAGCTCCATTCAGTTGCCCCGACTTCATCCCAATGCAAGGGATCTACAGGGTCATTAAAAGAAAAAGAAAAAATAATGCTTCTGGGTCGTTTGCATCTTAAGTTAAAAACTACTTCCCTTATTGGGTAAAAACAGTTATACCTAAACTGAGAATTGCTAGCGCCAAAATCAAGAGAAGAAGCATCCTTCATAAAATATTCTTGCCAGTCCAGAAGGTGAGCCGGATCATATGCTAAAATGAAAATCGTGTTCTGAAGCTAAGGGTCCAAGTTTCTCCTTAAAGCCACAGACAGGATGAGGTTATGAGCTGAAATGTCAAATAATACCATGATCCTTCCTGTAGTAGTAAACCCTGTCTAGGAACAATATTAAACCCAAGCCATGGAAGTGAAAGCTCTGAAGGAGAAAGTTGTCTTCCACTTTTTTTTCCTCCCAGGTGTTCATCGGTCACTCTGAACCAATACAGCAGGTGAGGTTCACTGCTGACCAAAAACAGGTCTTCAGTGTTGGAGACGCCATCTTCCTTTGGGATTTCCTAGGTGTCTTTGCAGAGGAGTCCTTCAGGGATGAGTAAGTGTTTCCTCATTAACACCTTGAAGATATTTTTTTTGAACCCGTCTCTAGATTTGAATCTTGTCATCTTATTTGAACTCTTGTGTTCTGATTGCAGGACCGATTCTCCTGGGCCCTTAGTGGTTCTTCAAGTTGGTAAGTTGGCATTTGCTTTTGAGTAACACAGCTGGTGTTGCACCTTCCACAGCAAGCCTACAAGATATGAGGTTGATATTTATTAGTTCGGAATGGGGCAACTCTCTGTAGGACAACTCTCTGCAGGACAATTCAATAAATACAAACATCAAATAAATTTCAACGGAACCATGGCCAATAAAATAAAGAAAGTCAATTCAGCAATATAAGAGTTACTTGCACCATTAACATATACTCTGGGAACTGTTAGGAAGGAGGCATCTTAACTTTCTTCCTCCCAACCAAACTATATCAGGGTGTCCAACCTTAACAACTTTAAGAACTGTGGACTTCAATTCTCGGGCTGGCTGAGGAATTCTGGGAGTTGAAGTCCACGAGTCATAAAGTTGCCAAGGTTGGACACCCCTGCTGCTGTTCTCAATTGCACTCCCTCTGTCCTGGCAATCCGCCTAATGTTCCATAGTAGAAAGAGAGATAGATGACATTAGATCTGAACAAAACTGTGTGTCAAAAGATATTGGGAACATATCTCCATCTCTTCCCCTGTTCCTGGTGCAATCTTTGCAACGAAATTATAAAGCTGGTTTTGGGTGAGAGTGGATATTTGGCACAAAGTTACACAGAGCCAGAGTGAAGATCTGAACCTGGACATCTGAAGCCTAACCCACCCTCCTATGTTGCCTCTTGTTTGTTCCCAGACCCTAATTTGGAGAAGGTACAAAATTCACCTCCTGGCTCCAGTGATGCCCCCCGCCAGCTGGTTCCTTTGCCTACCGTGGTGTCTCCTCCATGTCTGGATCTCAGCGCTCTCCACCGACTGGTGGAGCAGGGTGAGCAAAGAGAATTCATCACCATAGGAACCAATCAGGACTTCTCTATACTACAGGCAACTTAATGCCCCTCCTGGTTGCCTTATCCCCTACCTTTCCAGAGACGTTTGATCAAAGCACAATGGTCTTGTCTTTTCATTAAAGATGATACCAGTTATCCCATAAGATAAAGGTAAAGGTTCCCCTCGCGCATACATGCTAGTAGTTTCCAGCTCTAGGGGGCGGTGCTCATGTCTGTTACAAAGCCGAAGAAGAGCCAGCGCTGTCCAAAGACGTCTCTGGTCAGGTGGCCAGCAGGACTAAACACTGAAGGCGCACGGAGTGCTCTTACCTTCCCACCAAAATGGCCCCTATTTTTCTACGTGTATTTTTACATGCTTTCGAACTGCTAGGTTGACAAGTAACGGGAGCTCACTCCGTTATGCAATGCTAGGGATTCGAACTGCCGACCTTTCTGATTGACAAGCTCAGCATCTTGGCCACTGAGCCACCCCGTCCCTATCCCATAAGATAGGCCCTAACTATGTATCTAACCAGCTGGAAAGGAGAGAGGAGATAATTGGTCCATTGGAATTTGGGAGGTTAATATATTCAAATAAATAATCCATGGAAAATAAATAAAGATCGCTCCTTTCTTTTTTTGACAGTTTTCTGTCTTGGTCCCCAATCTCATTTCCTTCTGCACGAAACAGGGATTCTGACCAGGGTGTAATTCTCAGAAAGTGCCTGTGAGAATTTGACTATACATTTCTCTGTTTATGGGATTGCCAGCATAATGCTGTATATCTACCACAACCTCTGGAGAGGTTGTCCTCTTGTCCTGAATTCCTTTTCCAAGACAGCAACCAAGATCCCCTTGAAGATTGTCTCTGCAGTGGGAAAATATATGAATTAGGCAGCTCCTAAATGGGTTTCATTCTTTTATTTCTCTTATCTTCTAAAACAACGTCTTTCAATCTCAAGAATTTTAAAAGAGGTGGACTTCAACTCTCCATGGTGGCTGGGAATTCTGGGAGTTGAAATCCACCCATCCTTAAAATTCCTGAGGTTGAGAATGAAGAAGTTATTCATTCAGTCATATCTGACTCTTGGTGATTCTATGAGCCAGGTTTCTCCACGTCTTCCGGTTGTTCTAAAAGTGTATGGAGCCAGTTGCTTCCTTTCTGTCATTTTCCTCTCCTTTCTCTCTTCCAGACACTTGGTCTGACTCTGAAGAAGAAAGAGAAGCCTGCTTGAAAGGAAAGAATGGGGAAGCTGTTAACGGGACTGCTGGTCACTCAGTTCTTGTGCTGAATGACATTATCCAACATGAAGGGCCTCTGCCTGTGAAACCTGACCTCACTCCAATTTGTTCAAGCCCTCACAGTCCTGCAGGAAGTGGTAAGTTGACATATCCTGGTCAACTTTTAAAAGATTCCACATTTTAAGGGAAGAAAGGTGAATAGGTTCAGAGTCTCCTTGAACTGTGAGATGAATACCAAATAAATTTGATTGTAATAGTTGAACACCATCAGCATTGACAAAATCACCACCGGTCAATTGCAAAAAGCAATCTTACTCAGAACAACTTATATCCTGTGACCTTTAACCAGGGATGGGATTCTACCTGGTCGGACCGGTTCTATAGAACCTGTTGTTACGATTCTGCACAGTTTGGAGAGCTGGAAAATTGTGCCACTGGCTAGCCCCACCCCTCCCTGCCCTACCCACTCACTTCTTACCTGGCATGCGCTCCTAATTTTTTGGTAAGTTGCTATTTTTTCTTTTTTCCCCCCGACCATCAGCTGTTCCGACTATCAGCTATGCCCGGAGATTTAGATTAGCTAGAAAACAGGAAATCGTTTGGATTTCTTGCTTTCTAGCTAATCTAAAACAGAGCTGAGCCTTCCTTAGGTCTGAAGCTTCTATTTTTCAGTGCAGACTCAGGTAGCAGATTGCAGAAAGAGTGAATCTGTGATTCTGGGAGCAACTCAATCTGCCTGCCTTCTTTGCCTGATTTTGGGTAAAAGTTGCTCTTTTTTATTAAAAAAAATCAATATTTACACAATATTTACAATTGATGTAAATTCAAAAAATTCAATATTTACATACAAGCCATGCCTAGCCAGTCATGTGACCACCAAGCCACGCCTAGTCAGCAAGCCATACCCACCCAGTCACATGACATCAAGCCACACCCACAAATTAGGCCATGCCCACAGAACCGGTTGTTAAGAAATTTGAATCCCACCCCTGCCTTTAACATCATCCAGCGTCCAGATCTGCCTACTACCCCAGGTCCTCGGGAAAGGACTTGGTAGGTAGACAAAAATGCCAAATCCAGTCTGAGTGTGCAACAAAAACGAATGGCCAGCTCAGTGACATCGTGATGAATGGTTTCCAGCAGTGACGAGCAGAAAATGTGATTAGATATTTGTTCTTTCTTTCCTTTAAAAAAAAAAAAATTAAGCAATTAAAAAAAAGGAGAAATGAAAAGAGGAGAAAAATTATAGAAAGATAAAACATGAAACGAATAAGCAGGGTATCTACAAATACCATGGAATTGGGTTAGAATTTTGAATATATATAACTAACTGCTTTTAAACACCTGGACATACCATTTTATAAAGGACAGGGTCACTCCAGGCAGTTCATAAATATCAGTGGCAGAAGTTAGCACAGTATGAATTGTAAAGTAAGATTCAAAGTTACAGTACGTTCTATCCCAAGATACTAACAAAATCTTTGGATTTAAGTGATCTTTTTAGAGCTAGAATATTAAAATGTTAAGACAAACTCAGCATGTTTGCTTTTTCTCATGTACTAGACAGAGGAAAAGAAACAAAAGGGTCGTTACCCCAAAATATCATCCGGCCAGACTGCTACCGGCACTTCATACCCCGTTTCAAATCTTCTGCACCTTCCAAGGTGAGACCCAGTTTGACAATCTGGGGAGAGAAGGTTGTCAGTTGTTCAGTGATGATTTATTGTAGAGGTCTCCAAACTTGGCAACTTTAAGACTTGTGGCCTTCAACTGGCCGGAGAATTCTGGGAGTTGAAGTCCACAAGTCTTAAAGTTGCCAGGTTTGGGGACCCCTGATTTATCGTATAAAACTAATTTGCTGGGTTCATTTGCTCAGCTGTCAGTCCTGGTTTACAAACCTTAAAAGGCTGGGTAAGGCAAAAATTTGGTGTTATTAACCCACTCCGAGAAATGTTGATCAATGGCTTAGCTATTCTGCAATCATTTTTCTCGGGAAAATAACTGTAAATTAATTTAACAAGCAGTGCTCACTTGTCTACTGATGCGTAGAGTACAAGTTATCCTCTACTTACAACAGTTCACCTAGTGACTGTTCAAAGTTACAACGGCAATGAAAAAAGTGATTGATGACCACTTGTCACACTTTAAAACGATTGCGTCATCCTCACGGTCATGTGATCGAATTTTGGACGCTTGGCAACTGGCTCAAATTTATGACCGTTGCAGTGTCCTGGGGCCCTGTGATCCTCCTTTGCGACCTTCTGACAAACAAAGTCAATGGGGAAGCCAGATTCACTTAACGACTGTGTTAATAACTAAACAACTACAGTGATTCACTTAATAAGCTCTGGCACGAAAGGCCGTAAAATGGGGCAAAACTCACTGAACAAACGTCTGACTTAGCAACAGAAATTTCTGGCTAAGTCATAAGCTGAGGACTACCTGTATAGCAATTTATACTGGGCTCGTGTTTGGCTTTTCAGGTCTTTTCTTCTCCAACTGCTAACGAGACTCTGAAGCTGAAAGCTGTGATTGGCTACAATGGGAACGCCCGAGGGAACATGGTGTGGAACCCTGACACAGGTACAGCCGTCAAATAACATCAAAGATTTTATTCCCTTCATTTACCAAGCCCTCAATGGAACAATGGCAGCCTTTGGAATCTTTTGAAAGGCTTTCTAAGTCTCTCTGGCAGCTGAATCAGATGAAGAGGCGGCATGAGAATCAGGGCCAGCATCAGAGCAATATGAGAGCTCTGAGAGTGAAGAGGGAATGGAGCTGTCAGAGATAGAGGCAGAGGCGGAGCCTGGGCTGTCCATCAGCCCTCAGATGGAGAGTCAACAGTGCCCACATCGAGGTGGCTGATGAGGAAGAGGAGGAACAGCTGGGTCCAGTGCCTGACCTGCGGCTGTGCATAAGGCAGAGGGGAGGAGAGCAGTGGAAATCCATGGGCCGGTCCTCGGGATGGAAGAGCCACCACTGCTAGCCCCACCCCTAGCTCTGGGGATAAAAGGCAGGGGGTGGAGATGAATAGGTAGTTAACTACAGTGGGTTTGTCATGTCTGGAAGCCGGGTCAGAACAATATCCTTAAGTCTAGCTGCATGTTGTAATCTGGGGGACATATACATCTTATCGGGGGAAGTGTGTGTGTGTGTGGGGGGGGGGGGTTTGAGAGATTCTAGCTGTTATAGGTTATTCTCCCCCCCCCGCCAGGTTTCTTCGCCTACAGCTGTGGTTGTGTGCTGATTGTGGAAGACTTGCACTCTGGATCCCAACAGCATTGGCTGGGTCACCCGGAGGAGATTTCAACCTTAGCTCTCAGTCATAATGCCCAGGTATGGTCATCCCACCATTTTCCCACAGAGAATTTTACAGGTATCGCAAAATGTGTTGGTTGGATTGGACGAAATGGGAATTTATTGAAGCTCGCACAGGTTGTGATCATTTTTGAACATAAGGTAATCCTTCCCTAACCACCATAATTGAGCCCAGAATAATGGTCGTAAGTTATAGCTGTCATTCAGTGTGGGGGGTCTCCGTGCCTAAGTTTATGAACTGCTTTGTGGCAGACATCAAGCAAACACTGTGGACATTAAGAGAATGCTGCAGTCATTACCAAATAACACCTAATCAGAGTTGGAAGCGACCTTGTAGATCATCTAGTCCAACCCCCCACCCAAGCGGGAGACCCTACATCATTTCTGACAGATGGGAGTCCAATCTCTTCTTGAAAGCCTCCAGTGATGAAGCTTCCACAACTTCTGAAGGCAACTTCTGTTCCATCGCTTGATTACTCTCACCGTCAAAAAGTTTCTCCTTATTTCCAGGTTGAATCTCTCCTTAATCAGTTTCCATCCATTATTCGTTGTCTGGCCTTCGGGTGCTTTTCGGGTGTTTCTTCGTTAAAGAAGTCCATTTTTCCAGTGGCCATTTTTTTTTATCCCAGAAACTGGGAGTAAATACTGGAAACAGGCAAAAACTCAGCAAAAATTATGGTTGCTGCAAATGCTCATAAATGTGAGTAGGTTGCCAGGTTCCCAGAATGTGATCATGTGACTCATTTTTTTTTTGTGTGTGTGTGTGTGTGACAGAACTCTTCTCTCACACACAAATAAGTATGCATACTATATAAATATCCAAAGTGCTTTTCATGTAAGTGGACATTGTTTGTTTTTTGCAATAGCCCACGCAGGAAACCTGCTTAATGATATGTAGACAGTATGAGTGGGAGAAAGCAATTTATTCTGAGCTGTTCCTAAAACTTAAGATATATTCTTCGGATTCTACTCTTGTTTTGAAACTTAACCAATTGGCACCACCTCTGTTAAAACCAGGCGTGGGCTTCAAAAAATTTGGCAGCCGGTTCTCTGCCCGGTTGCTGGGTGGGCGGTGGGCGTGGTGAGGGTGGCCTAGTTGACCTCCTGCACCCCGGTGGAGGGGGACTTTTTTGCCTTCCTCAGGCTCCAGAGACTTCCCTCAAGCCCCTGGAGGGTGAAAACGGCCCCCCCAGCCTTCAGAGGCTCTCTGGTGGCTGGAAACAGGCCCGTTTCCGGCCTGTTTCCGGAGCCTCCTGGAGACCCATTTTTCACTCTCCCTGAGCCTCAGTGCAGGCCCTGCACTAACTTGGGGTCCTAAACGGGGCACATGGAGACTCCTGAGACGGGAGGGGAGGGTTGGGCGGGGTCAGCCAGTCATTGCAACTACCGATTCGACGAACCAGATATAAAATTAACATCCGGTTCACCCGAGCCTGTGTGAACTGGTGTGAACTGGTAGCAGCCCACCCCTGGCTAAAAAAAAATAGCTGTATCTTAATGTGTTTTAACCCTGCTGGAAATTGCCTGTGGGTTTTTTTAATCACGAGATGGTGATTAAAGATGGTTTTGAGCAGACTTAAAAACTCATTTTCTCCCCGTCTCTCTCTCTGTGGCTTTGAGTTGCCACTACTTCATTTTTTTTTATTATAGCCTAGTTGCATTTTCCTGTTTGTTAAACAGTTAAATCTCCTAGCTCTTTATACTGAGATCTCCCTGATGACATGGGTTGTTTCCTCTCTAGGTTCTGGCCTCGGCCTCTGCCCAAGGTGGGGGAGACCGGCGGTGTCAAATGTGCATCTGGAACGTACAAAATAGGACTTGTGAAAAAATCCTCTTTCATCACGAAAACCAAGTGCAAGCCATGGCATATTCTCAAGACGACCGCTTCCTTGTCACGCTAGGTTGGTATAGCCAAGGGGGATGAGAAGGTATCAAGCATTCCACGAGTGGAATCTCATGTCCAATTGTGGTGGGTGGGTGCATTTTTGTGGGCTTAGCTTGAACCAAGAAATGACACTCGCTGTGGCATCCTAACCGGAAGCTAGATATTTCATTTAGCTCTGCATTTTTCCAAAAATTGCGAGTGAGGCCTTTAAATATGCAGCCTTTGGCTTTAAGATGTGTAAGTTTCATAGCAGGCTGGGGGATTCTATGAGTTGAACTCTACACATCTTAAATCGAAAAGTGCTTTTTAAAGGGCAACTGGACTTTGCTTTTTTTCCCCTTGAAAACATTTCACTTCTCATCCGAGAAGCTTTTTCAGTTCATCTTCAGTTTTCCTTCTTCAGAACTAAAGAAGCTTTTCAAAGAACATTTTCAAAGAACACCCCCCCCCCAAGAAAGTCCAGTTGCCTTTTGAAAAAGCACCTTTGGGACAAGGTGATTAAGAATCTCCAGAGACATTCACACATCTTAAAAGTTCCCGGGGCTGAGAAACACCGGGTTGGATTGAATAACTTTCTCATGTTTATTTTTCCGTGAGCGAATTTTAACATTCATGTTTTACGAATGAACGTTTAGGAATGTTTATAAGAGCTGTGCTGGTGCAGTGGTTAGAATGCAGCATTGCAGGCTAATTCTGCCCGCTGCCAGCAGTTCGATTCTCACCGGCTCAAGCTTGACTCAACCTTCCATCCTTCCGAGGTCAGTAAAATGAGGTCTGAAGATTGCTGGGAGCAATATAATCCTGTAAACCATTTAGAGAAAGCTGTGAAATGTCTTTGAATATTAGCAGCTTGGGTTGGTAGTTATGTTGTTGGTTTGAGCTCCGAGCTTGGCAATTTGGTTGCAAATGTTTCATCCCCATTTGAGGAGACATCGTTGGTGCACTTTGGATTGTGCTTGTCTAGCCTTTAAATACCTTGCTGAGTCCTGATCTGATTTTGGGTTGTGTGGTCGATTGGCTGGCTTGTAGTTGCTGAGATATAATCCTTGGTTTTAAGTACTGACTGAGAGAGAGAAGTCTGCAAAGCACTGTGAAGCGGTATATAAGTCTTTTTAAAAAAATTTTTTATTGAATATAAACATTAAAAACATTAAATGTGATGGTCTTCTTTGACATACATTTCTGTCAATAAATTTTGCATTGAGAAAGATAAAAGAAGTTATGTACAATTATGTACATTTATATACATGTAGACATTTAAACTTTGTAGTTTTTAAGTCTTTCTCATTAATCCTCAAATATGAGGTCCCTCATCTCTTGCCTATTTCACCTTAAATTCTTATGTCAATTTTATGAACCCCCTTTCATGTCCCTCCAGTAGTAAAATTTATTCCAAATTGTATGGTATTCTGATTTATCTTGATCTTTCAATTCTAATGTCAACCTATCCATTTTGGCGCATTGTAATATCTTATCAATCGTAACTTCCTCAGTTGCTTTCCAATTTTGGGTGAATATCATCCTTGCTGCCATGATTACATGTATAATTAGATAGGTATCGGCTTTGCTAAATTTCTCTTCCATTATTCCCAGTAAGAACATCTCTGATTTGTAACAAATATTTAGCCCCGTCATTCCCTCTAGCCATGTCCAAATTTTATGCCAGAACTCCTGAGATTTTTTACAGGACCACCATATATGATAGTAAATGCCCCATTCTTTCAAGCACTTGTTGTGGTTAGCCGGCAGCAGATGTGTACGGCTGAGGAGAGTGAGGACTCAGATGAGGGGCCAGGACCATTAGGGAGTGGACTGCTGCCTTCAGAGATTGTGGGGGCTGGCAGCAGCGACGAGGAGGTCCCCGAGGAGCCTGTGCCAAGTGCGCGTGCGTGCAGGATTGCTCACAGGAAAGCAGCTGCAGCAGCACGGGCGACTCGGGAGTAAGGCTGCAAGGTAATGGTCCTTCCTTCAAGAAGATAAAAGCTAGCTGTGAATCGGACGTTCTTTGTAGGAAGCAAAAACATTTTGAAACTCAGCCTCGTGGACATTGCAGTATCTTAAGTTGGTATTTGAAGACTCTTCTGTTGTTAAATATTTCTTATCTGTGATTCTTGGCAGCCTCGTACAGTTTTGGCGAGGTGTGTGCTTATGAAAGTTAACTAGTTTGCAGCAGCCCTTTAACTGGGCATTTGTAAAATCATTAAAAGGTTTCTGTTCCCTTTGGTTCGTGTTTGTCTTATTGGAAAAGGGGTTGGGTCAGAACAGCACTTCCAACAGTTGGGTGATTGGTTTCCATACATTTTAGCTAGCCTAGCTGGTGGGAGATGTCACCTTTAAAACATCTTGTACAAGTTTCTCTTGTATGATATAAGTCTTAAGTGCTCTTGCACTTAAGGTTATTTTGAATCCAAGAAAAGCAAAGTGTACCTAGATGCTAGGAAGAAGTCCAGGTTTATCAGGCATCAAAATTTCATAAATAAATCCACGTATGTGTATATAAAAACAGATTGGCATCCACTTCTCTGCCTGCAGGAGATTATGTAGACAGAGTCGTTGCCTTGTGGAACTCCCAGACTTACGACCTCGTGTCCTCCACCCGTCTTGCTGAACCTGTACACGACCTGGCCTTTAATCCCCTTTCCGTGGGACAGCTTGCCTGCGTGGGGAAGGGAGCTGTGACCTTCTGGCTGATGAAGCAACAGGGCTCGGACATCAGCCTCAAGGTAGGTATTCCCTCCCCAAAATACACTTGACATTTTGCCCAATTTTACAAGGAGTCCTCAACTTACGACAGTCACGGAGCCTGCTCGTAGCAGTTGTTAAGTTGTGACGGTTGCAAATCAGGTAAAAGCGAAAACCCTTTTTTGGTTGCACTTGTAAAACGGTTGCTATGGTCATTAAAGCAAACTCTCTACTTGTGAAGCCAACCAATGGTTCGCTGTGGGTGTGGTTTTGCCAAAAACTGTTCTGTTTCCACTGCCCCACCTCATAGCAGCGCCACTGGCACACCATGCGGCCTCCTGCCCCACCACGAGCAAGCAGATGTGGGCCTCCCATACATGGGAGAAAAAAATAAGACAACCCCCTCAAAATAAGTCCTATTGCCTCTTTTGGTGCCCAAAAGAACATAAGACCTAGTCTTATGTTTGGAGAAACATGGGAATGTGTGATGACCGGGGGCATGGCACAAAGACAACACAGTCAGATAATCAGTAGGAGTCCCTTTATTAGCTTCAACTTTGCCCACCCCCCCATGTCCTGGTTACCTTTTGGGCTCTCACAGAAACAGCCTTTGGCTGCAGAGAATCAAGTCCGAAACATGGTCAACAAAAACTGTAATTATAAATCCAATCAAGGCAAGATGAGGTAATTAGTCAGGCAGGTCAAGAGAAGGAATTCCAGATGTGAAGGAATGGTAGTAATTCAACACGGTTGGGAGGATGCCGGGAACACAGATAACCACAGTCAAGACAAGATAAACTCACGTTTGTTCCCCGCAGATGCCGCACTCAGTTTGCATCTCCTTTAAATTCTCATTCCCAGGTGTGGCTAATGAAGGGAATCAGGGCCCTTTCCTCCCCCGTAAGCCACGCAACCCATGTTGCTTTCTTCTCCGTTCCTCCCTGTGTGCCCTAGGATGAAGAGGGGGTGGGCCTGGATCTTCCTCTGAACTCCCTCTCCCTTGTTCTACCTCTTCCCTGCTCTACCCAGCCGGACTTTGTCCTTCCCCAGTTTCCTCCACAGCCAACGGAGCCACACTCCCGCTCCCTGTCAGTTGTTCGTCTTCCTCCTCAGATTCAGACTCCAACGGGCATGACAGCTATGCATATAACCTTCCTTTTTTTAGGTCCAGCGAGTCCCTGTTCCTGATGCTCTTGCTGGGGTGGAGCTCACATCCATGTGCTACAGCTCTGGTTGTCTACTTTACACTGGGACTAGCACAGGGCAGATTTGCAGCTGGGACACGGAGACCAATTGTTGCTTCATGACTTGGGAGGCTGTGGACGGCGAGATTGGTGAGCACTGTGTTAACGTTTAATATAATACTAAAACTAGAATAGAGTGAGCTGGAAGGGACCTTGGAGGTCTTCTAGTCCAGCCCCCTGCTCAAGCAGGAGAACCTCTACCATCTCAGATAAGTGACTGTCCAGTCTCCAGTGATGGACCACCCATGATTTCTGAAGGCAAAGCTGTTCCACTGGTTAATTGTTCTCACCGTTACGAAGTTTTTCCTTAATTCTAGGTTGCTTCTCTCCTTGATTAGTTTCCAACCATTGTTTCTTGTCTTGCGTTCTGGTGTTGGAGAATAGAACAGAACCAGAACCAGAATTGAACAGAACAATGAAATAAAGGAAGACTAGTATAGATCTATTTCAAGCTATTTAAGGCTCCCCACGTTTTGTCAGCTATACCAGGAGAGAGATTAAGTGTTGGGAAAAAACCTGAAAAAAACCCAAACTCTCCTCTGGTATAACTGACAAAGTGAGGAGAGCCAGTGGCTTAGAGGTTGATAGATAGATAGATAGATAGATAGATAGATAGATAGATAGATAGATAGATAGATAGATAGATGATAGATAGATAGATAGATAGATAGATAGATAGATAGATAGATAGATAGATAGATATAATTCTTTATTGGCCAGGTGTGATTGGACACACAAGGAATTTGTCTTTGTGCATAAGCTCTCAGTGTACATAAAAGAAAAGATACATTCGTCAAGAGTCAAGAATCATAAGGTACAACACTTAATGATAGTCATAGGGTACAATAAGCAATCAAATACATCTTAGATAATACATCTACCTAATATGCAAGCAGCCCGGGTTCGAATCCCAGAAGGGTATGGCTAGCTGATGAGAGCTAAATAGCTTGAAATAGATCTATATTAGTCTCCCTTTATTTCTTTGTTGGTAAATATAAATTCAACACAAAAATAGTTTGTTGCAAAAGCAACTGCCTGCGAAGGCTCCTGGACTGAAAAGCGAAACTGAAAACAGTTGCTCCATCCCATATTTGGGTAGACCAGGTTGCCCTGATAGACTGGTCTCATGGGGGGGATGGGGAGGTGGGGGAGAGAGACTGCAGTCTCCAGTAGTATTTGGAAGAAATCTTTTTTAATTGGTGCAATCCTTTTCTTGTCTAGGAGTACTTCAGTGTCGCCATAACCGGCTGGTCAGTGGCAGCAATACCAAGAAGATCCAGATTTGGTCAGTGGCCGCAGTCCAAGAGCTGAGAGTCAAAGGATCTGATGCCAGGTGTGAAGGGACCGCAGTGTGAATGGATTCGATTCTGGAGAAGTGTGGGGGCTCCCTTTTCTCCCTTATTCCCACAGTGTCCATGAAAGACGATTGTTTGTTTGTTTACGGCATTCCTACATTCCCAACTAGGTCATTGCCTCAAGGGAGCAGATTTAAACATTTTAAATCTATTTTCAATCTCTAAAAACGTCCTTAAATAGACATTGAGCTGATCAGTTTGGTTAAAATCTATC